AAGAGCGGGTTTCCAGGTGACGCAGACCGGACCTCCAGAATAGGGGTGGCCCTTTATCAGGCAGCGCCCCCCCACGAGCCCCATCACCCCATTCCACTTCCTGAAAGGGAAGACCCCCGATTCTTCGAAGGTAGTCTAGCGCGGGGTGGGGGCGGACATGGCCTCCGCGTTCTGAGGGGAGAGCCCAGTTCTGAGCCCATGTCCCCGCACGTCCGAGGTCCAGGCCCCCACCTTGAGGAAATGCACTTTTACGAAGATGGAGCTGGATTCTAAGGGGAGGCCCTCATTCTAAGGCGATAACCCCAAATGATGAAGACAGCCTAAAATATTCCCCGAGATACCTGGGTTCTCCATTACGGGTGCTGTCACCCAAAAACTGAAAGGGATTCCCCTGGTTCAGACCTTCCAGGGGTTCTGATCCAGCACCCCTAGTCCCTGGAAAAAGCCATTTGTATCCCCTCACAGGGAGAACACGGCCCTTCAGAGGGGCCCTCTGGCTCCTGTGTCAGGGACCTGACTCCATTATCTCATTTCTCGCCCCACCCCTTATCCCTGTCTGAGACACCTCACCTGGCACCTCCTCCTCTGGGTCCCCCAGCGGCCCCCTCACCTGGTGCCCCGACATCTGGAATCCTCAGGAGCCCCCTTACCCTGCACCCCAACTCATGGGACTCGCAGCATCCCTTTTATCCTGCACCCCCACCTCTGGGACCCCTGGCAGCCTGTTCTCCTAAGAACCCTGGCAGAGCCCTCATCCCACACAACCTCATTCCTGGTACCCCCAGCGCCTCCTCATCCCACGCTCCCTACTCCTGGGACCCCTGGCAGCCCCTTCGCCCTACGCCAACGACCCTAACCTCCCACCATCCGCTTTGTCTTGCAGCGGCCGAGCTCCAGGGTGGGCCTGGAGCCTGTGGCCCGCAGCAGAGCCTCCCTGCTCCTGCCCGTTGGGGCTCCGGAAGCAGAGCAGCCGCCATGCACATCCCCGAAAGCCTCCAGGACCTGGCTGACAGCGAAGCCGTGCAGTTTCTGAAGAGGCCAAAAACGATCCTGCGGATCTTCGCAGGGGTGAGGCCTTCCTGTGGCCCGACTGCCCTGTGGGTGACCGGAAACAGGTCTCACCTCTTAGACACAGCGCAGAGGGAGTGGGGGCCGAAGGGGCAGACGGGGAAAAGGAAGCAAAAAGGTGCTAATAACCGAAGTCCCCTTTGACCGAGCTCCTCACCGTAGGCCCTGCGCTATTCTGAGCACTTATTACTCTCGTGGGAAGAAACGACCTTTCAAAGTAGGTGCGAGGAGCCCCGTTTTTGAGATAAGAAAACCGAGGATCAGAGAAGTTCAATTATTTTTGTAAGGCTGCGCTGTCCAAGGTGGTGGCCACAGGCCACACGTGGCTGGCGGCTCTCAGGTTGGACAGCGCCGGTCTCGAACTTCTGTCGTGGCAGAGAGTTCCACGGGCCCGTGTTAGCCAAGGTCACACAGTAAGGGACGGGGCTGGGATTCGAACCGGGGTCTCTGAGGTGCCGGGGCCTGTTCATTTTCCAGACGAGGGACTAGGAGAGGAGCAGTGGAGGAAGAGGAAGTGTCCAGGGGGAGGAGGAGAGTGTACAGCGTAGGCCTAAGATGCCCGGCGTTGGGTGATCGCTGTGCCGGGTGCCGGGCCACGAGAGAGCTTACAGGCGTTTGTTTAAGCATCGCTGTATTCCCAGAGGCAAGACATCTGGGCTCGAATCCTCGTTCAGCCAACTCTGCTCTGTGACCTTGGGCCGATCACTGCTCCTCTCTGGACCTCAGTACATGAGGGTCAGGGCTGTCCTGCCACCGCTGCCCTCCTTTGACAGAATTGGAGACTGAGGCCCAGAGAGATAACACTCGATCGGGGTCATGGCGGTAGCTGGGGGTTCCCTGGATCCAACCCAGGGTCCTAACCCAGAATATCTCCTTTCTACCCCTTCTGGAAGGGTCAGAGGCTCCTAGAGGCCTGGCTGAGAATCCTGGCTCGGCCACACACTGTCCGCATAGGGTGACATCCTCCTCCGTTTGCCTGGGCCAGTCCCGATGTAATTATCAGTACCACCGCCTTTCATTCTCAAAAGGGCCCTGTTTTGTTTAATAACTTCCGGGTCACCCAATGTCTGTGTGACCTTGAGCAAGTGACTTGATTTCTCCGAACCTCTGTACCGTCATATGTAAGAAGAGGATACTAACATTCTGCTCATGGGAAGGACAGTAGTGAAAATGAAACGAGTTAGTGTGTAAACGGATCAGCACGGGCGGGCACGTGGCAAGTTTTCCTTAAGTAGAGAGTATTATTGAGACAGATCATTACTTGTGAGCAAGGAGATAGTTTCGGGCGCCCAGGGTGACGGGAACTCGTGTCCACTGTTGTCTTCACCCAGGGGAAGAGGGAAATTATGAGTTCCACATCGTAAGTCCAGGTCCCTCGCTGACGCTGGCTCTTCTGCCCCTCACCATGACCCGGTGACATGGGCATTCTTACTCCTGGTTGACCCAAGGGAAAACTGAGTCTCACAGAGTTTGAGCGACTTGGCCAAAGACGTCACCCAGCTGATGAGCAAGTCAGAAGGAATCACGAGCCTCCAAAGCTCCAGAAGGAAGGGTGGGCGGCGGGGGAGAAGGCGGCCCAGCTGGTGCAGACCGGTGTGGGGAACGGGGAGGGAAGGGCTCCGACCAGACCAGCGCGCCAGACGGTGCGGTCACAGACTTTGCCCGCGCCCACACCCTCCCTCCCTTCCAAGCGCCCCTCCTTCCCCCTGGCCTGGCTCCTCGGTGGGGACTCTGGGCAGCTGGTGCGCTTGTCCTCAATACCGCCTACCAGCTGGTGCCTTAATGATGAATCTTTGCTCCCTCCCTGGGGACAGGCCAGAGAGGGCATGGAAGGAGGTTTGGGCTCAGGCTTCCGGGGCTAGGGTCCTTCCAGCCCAGCTGGCTCCCTCCCCACAGGCCGAGGATTTCGGGATCAGTGGACAGACAACCCACCGGCCTAGAAGTCAGGCAGGCCGGATCTCAATCCCCCTCCTCCACTGACTGACCTTGAGAGGACACTTCCCCTCTGGGACAATCGTGACAACTATCATTGGGTTCAAGCCACCCCCACCCCCACCATGCCCTCTCTTCGCATCACCAAGTCAGACTGGGAAACTGAGGCTCCCACGAAGTGAGTGATTTGCCCAAGGCCGCACAGCTGGCAGAGTCAGCCGTGTCTGGCTCTTTCCATCCCACCATAATGGCTTCGATTTATCAACTGTGAAACAGAAATGAATTAGTAGCATCTAACGCGTGGGGCTGGTGTGAGGCTTCGGGGAGACGATGCAGGTAAAATGAACATGAGCTCAAAAGTGATCGATGGGCCTGTCCTTGACCTGGCTCTGCCTCGGACCACCTGGGCAAGATGCCAGCTGCCCTTCGGTGGATTCGGTTCTGCGGCTCCGAAGCGGAATGGAGGCGAACACCCTCGGTTAATGCCAACATGCAGGACGAAGTGGGGGACCCGTTGTCATCATCATCATCATCATTATTCAGAGAAGGCAATTAAGACAAAGGGGAGAGGAGGACCCACAGAGACTGAGGAGTTAGGGTTAATCCCTTTCCTCTGCCGGCCCCACTCTGAAGGGCAAGGCAAGAGCAAAGAAGAAAGGCCCAAGGTCATTCACTCCCTCGACACGTTTGCTCGGTTCCAGTCTGGGTGCCGGGGAGAGAGTGAGAAGCGTTCCACATGGACCCCGTCCGGCAGGAGTTCGAATTCTAATGGATTCCCCTACCCCTCAGCTACTCCCTCCCTTGCTCCTGTCCCCAGCACTGCCATATCAATCAATCCCCAAGTCTGATTTTAAGTCCTAAAGGTCACTGGATTCCCCAGAGCCCCGATCTCAGCCCAGGCCTCAGCATCGTTTACCTGGGCCCTCCCACCAATCCCCTCTCTGACCTGCTGGCCTCTTGTCTTGCCCCCTCCAATCCATCACGACCCTAGAGATTTGCTCTGACTCCCAGGTCCGCCCCCGGCTGTCCTCTGCTCAGAACCCCGCTATGCATCTAAGTAAATCCAAGTAAGAAATTTCACTTTCCATGGCCCGTAAGGCCAGGCCCCTCTGTCTGGTGGTCCAGGCCTATAGAGTCGGGCCACCACCCACTTTTCCAGTCTCTTCTCGCACCAGATCCCTCACGGGACATTCATCTCCAGTCCCCAAAGGAGCCACACTCGGCAGCATCTGGTATTAGCACATGGGCTCGTCCTTCCAGAGTGCCCGTCCTCTGTCCACCTGAGAAACTCCATTTTTCAGGTGCAGTTCCGATCTGCTTCCTCCCGAATCCAGCCCCTCAACTTCTGTTCCTGCTCAAACCTCGCCTGCCTCCCTGAACGCCCCTCCCAGCCCCCGCCTCCTCCCAAGCCTCCCAGCCTTCAGTCTCACCCCCTCCAGCCCATCTCTGCGTGGCCCCAAAGGGGTCTTCACACATCCAGAGCTGCTCCTCCCCTTGCTGGGGCTCCCTGTTCCCCTCCTGCCTTTCTCACCCTGCAGCACTCTTTGCGGGCACCCCCTCATCCAGAAAGCCCCCCTGCACCGCCTCCCCGTCCTCCCCCAAACACACACAAGCCAGTTTCTTTCACATTTGGCGGGGACCTGGCCACGCTGCACTGTGACTGGGGCAAATAACCGGGCTGATGATTTCCCCCGACTGGCTTTGGTAGAAACCGTTGGCTTCGCGGTGTCTCGTCCAGCTGGAGGCCGTAGAGCAGGGGGTGAAAGCAGACGCTGGAGCCGGACACCGTGCTTCAGCTCCAGGCACTGCCACTTAACCACTGACTGGGCGATACTGCGTCCTCAGTTCCATGACCTGAAAAACGGGGCTGTCGCTAATGCTTGCACCCTCGGGCGGTCGTGGGGATGACCCGGGCTAGTGCCCGGGAGCACTTCAGTGGGGCTTCATGAATGAACGCCCTGGAAGACGCGCGGAGCCGCGGAAAAGCGCTACAGCGTGACGCAGACAGGTGCCCGGCAAGAGGCCAGGGGCCACCCTCGCAGTGAGGTTCTGTTCGCTTAAAAAAACCCAAATGTTAATGTTTGTTACGTCCTGGGTGTTCGTTACGTTTCTCTCCGTCCTCTCCGTGTTTTTAGACCATTTCACAAATTTATTTAAAAAAACAAATGGAATTAGCCAAGCTGGGAGGGAGGAGGGAGAAGCTGCAGGGAGAGGGGGGAGCTGGGGAGGACGATGGAAGCATCATGACGGCAAGTACTTACTGAGCTCGTCGTGTGTGCCGGGCACTGTGCAAAGCACTTTATCTCGGTACCTGTGTTTGGTGACAGGTACCAGTTTGGGGTGGCAGAAGGGGAGCGTGGGTGAGGCGGGGTGATTGGGGAGAGCACAGACCATGCAGGGCCTCGAAGGCCAGGCCAAGGGGCTGGGCCTTTGTCCTGGGGCCACCAGGGAGTCAAGGATGGCTGTGAGCAGTGGAGGGCAGGGTGAGGATGGGCTGAGAGGCAGAGACTGGAGGCAGGGAGGCTAGGGAGGAGGCCGGGGTGAAGGCCTGGGGAGGAGAGGAGGCCGGAGCTAGGGTGGGGAAGATGGGTGAGGGGCAACGGGAGGGCCGGGCTGGGAGGCTCTGAGGACCTGACAGGGAGGGAGGGGCCAGAGCCACCCCGTGGGTGCGTGGCCGGGCTCCACCCACAGGTCGGGAACTCGACAGGACGTATGGGTTCGGGGAGACGCCGAGCTCCGCTCCGGGCCCCAGGCATCCCTCCCACACCCGCAGGTCTTCTCGCTGATCGTCTTCTCGTCTGTGCTGACCGACGGCTTCCAGAACAAGACGGACTCTTCAAAGCTCCACTGCGTCCTCAACGGCAACAACGTGGCCTGCAGCTTCGCCGTGGGCGCCGGCCTCCTCGCCTTCCTCAGCTCTTTGGGCTTCCTGGCCCTGGACGCCCACGAGGGCCGCATCGCCAGCACCCGCTTCAAGACGGCCTTCCAGCTGCTGGACTTCATCCTGGCCGGTGAGCCCCGGCCCACCCGGCCGAGCTGCCCTGCCCGGCTCCCCGCGCTGCCTGGCTCCCGGGCCCCAGGACACCGCCATTGACCCCCAGCCAGCCTCTGACTGTCCCCCACCGGTGACCCAAAGCGTTTACACTTGCAATTTCCTCCCCGGGGAATTATAACTCTTCCTTCAGACTCCTGTAAGGTTGACCTCTTCTAAGCCCCAGGCCAATTCCAGAAGCTTCCCTTCTGGCTGGCCTTTTCCTCCCATTCACCTCCCTCCTTCACGACACACTTCTTGCAAAGCCTCGGGGTGGCAAGAGGTGGAGTTCGGGGCCCCCAGCCAGACAGACCTGGGCTCCAAATCTCAGCTCAGGTGCCTCCTTGCCCTGTGCGCCCTGGAGGGGCTCCCCGACCCCCAGCTTCACTGGGAGCTGGGAGGAAAAGCCCACCTTGCAAGGTCCTTCTGAGGAGGGGACGCCCATGGTGATGTGGACCTTTCCTGGGCACCTCCCCCGTGTCATTTCCCCCTCAGAACCACCCAGGAGGTAAGTCCTGCACTTGCGCCCACCCACAGAGAAGGGAGAGGGCTCTAAGAAGCTCATGTCCTTGGCGTACAGCTGCTGCCGATTCTAGGCTCAGAGCAAAGTCCCACCTCCGTCTCCATTAGCCAAGCACCCTACGTAGAGCGTGGCACTCAGTAAGCGCTAAATAAATGCACACTTCTTTTCCTCAGGCCCAGGGCTCCTCCCTCTCCATCTAGTCTCCCCCCGCACACCCCCATCCCAGGGCTGAGGGGTCCTTCAAAGGCCGTGGAGTCCAGCACTGTCCAAGAGAACTTTCTGGGAAGGTAGGGACGTCCGGTGCCCACGCTCCCCAGTGTGGGCACCGCAGGCCACATGTGGCCACTGAGCACTCGAAGTCTGGCCGGTGTGACCAGGGGCTGCGTTTTGTTTTGTTTTTTTTTAATTCAATTTTCATTGATTGAAATGTAAGTACCCGCGTGTGACCAGAGGCTCCACTCCAGCGCGGGGAGTGGGGAGAGGCCGCTGCAGACCCAGCCTGGCCCCCTGCGCTCGCGGCGGCCCTTCCTGAGCCAGCTCTCCGCCCCCCTTCTCTCCTGCGCCCCGCAGTCCTCTGGGCCGGCATCTGGTTCGTGGGTTTCTGCTTTCTGACCAACCAGTGGCAGCATTCGTCACCCAAACAGTTCCTCCTGGGGAGCAGCAGCGCCAAGGCCGCCATCGCCTTCTCTTTCTTCTCCGTCTTCGTCTGGGTGAGGACGAGCCCCTCGCGGCCGGCTGCAGGGCGGGGTGGGCGGGCTAGAGCACCTTCTCCCTCACCGGCTCCCTGGGCCCCCACGGACCCCTTCTGAGGCTCCCAGGCAAGTCGGAAAGCGGGCGCCAGCACTGGGCATCGTGCAGGTGTCCTTGTCCGGTGAGGGGGTCCCTCTCCGCCCTGTCCGGCCCGCGCCGGCCTCCAGCTCGCGCTTCTCTGCCCACAGATATTCCAGGCCTACCTGGCCCTCCAGGACCTGCGGAGCGATGCTCCGGTCCCCTACAAGCGCTCCCTGGACGAGGGTGGCGTGGTGCTCACAACCCTCTCCCCGCCTTCCGCCGCCAGCCCCATCAACATGCCCGCCGCCGGCCCCAACAGCCTGAGTTACGCCAGCTCTGCCCTGTCCCCCTATCTGACCACTCCGAAGGTCCCCCGCCTCGCCATGATGCCCGACAACTAGACACCCTCCTCCGCCTCAGTAAAGAAGGGTTTCTGAAAACAGCCCTCTGTCCCGGTCCTGTCCGCTCCTCTCCGCGGCCTCGGGTGGCCCAGGGTGGGGAGAAGTCCTATGAGGTCACCCCAGGGGTCTCTGCGGGTGGTCCGTACCAGGTCCCAGACTCTCCATCCGGGAACCAGCGTGATAGCGGCAGCATCGTGGTCACAGGAAGGGAACACATCTTTCGGGTCTGTGACACATCGAGGCCTTTGCTCGCTCCTCACACCAGACATGGAGGGGTGTACGAGGCACCCCACTGGACAGAAGAGGAAACTCAAGTTCAGGGAAAGGAAATGCTAAGAACCAGGGCCACCAACCCTGGGACCGGCCCCCGAGCTGACGCCGAAACCCAAAGCCTTTCACTCATCTCGGTGACAAGGCTCACAACTCAAAACGGAGCTGTGCGGGGCGTCCCTGAAGGAACAGGGTGGCGAGTCCGTGGCTGGGGTCGGGGGGCCTTTGAATATTTGGAAGGCCGTCTTGGGGAAGGTGAAGGGGTTTTATTCCAGAACCCAGGAGCTCATCAGGGACTCATAAGCACGACTGCCTGCAGGGTAACCCCTGCGGATGTAGCACCCATTAAGGGAGCGGTGGGGACAGGGCGGCCATCACGCGTCACCTACCGCTCAGCACCACGGGCCCCGGAGCCTGGAGCCACACTGTCCGATTGAAATACAGTGCGAGCCACAGAGGGAGAATTTTAAATAGTCCAGTAGCCACATTAAGAAAAGAAACGAAACAAGTGGAATTTGTATATATTTTATTTAACCCAGCATATCCAAAATATCGCATTTCAGCGTGTCGTCAGGATAAAAAATTATTAGGTAGCTTCCAGTCTCTCATACCATGCTTTCGAAACCCTTTGCGGATTTTACATCTCGGTTTGGACTCGCCCCATTTCAAGTGCTAATGTCGCACGTAGCTGATGGCTGTGTTGGACGGTGCAACTCGAGAACCTTCCGTTTTTTTCTAGAACATTAGACATCCTTCTTATGTGGAATTAGTTGGCAACACATACAAAAATATATATATATATTTTTAATGTTTTGCAGGCCAAACGGAACACACTCACGCAAGGGTCACGGTGGCCGGCGTCCATTTACAAACTGGACAAAGGGATGGCAGTTTGCGGAGAGTCGGATGCGGGTTCCGTGGTCCCTTTGTGCGGTTTCCTGTGTGGCAGGCCGCGTGCTCAGTTCTGGGGGGACGGAATAAGTAGGGCGCAGCCTCTGTGGGCATGGGGGGTGAAGGGAGAGATGGCGCGGTGCAGTGGGCACCACGCTGTGGGAAATGGAAGGACTCGGCCCCAGTCCTGGCTCTGTCGCCAGCTGGATTAGCCGGGACGTGTCACTTAATCTCTCTGGGCCCGAGCCGTGTTGGCTGGAAAACTAGAAACTCAGAGCAGACTGAGATGGATGCTCCCCAGACTACATTCGAAACATTCCAAAGGTGCCACCTCCCCACCCCGGCCCGCCTAGCGGCCCCGTTCCTATGTTTTCCTATCAAGCCTCTGCGCCCCGCTCCTCAAAACAGGTCCCTTGGCTTTAAAGAAAGAAAAACAAACAGCAGTGACTAAAGACACAGGCTCCGGCTTCACCCCACTTCTGCCACTCACCCTCTGGGCCTCGGTTTCCTCTCCCACAGGGCGCCCCCCGCCCCCGCCAGGGGAGCTGAGGCCCAGTGGGCTCCTCCGTGGAACCCACACTGCCTGGCACTTACGAAATGCGCAGGTAACGCCAGCTACATGCCCTCGGAAGTTTCTAGAGCCGTCCTGTGGGAGAACTGGGGGGTGAAGGAAGGTCTCAGCGGACATCTGGGGAGTCTGACGAAAGCCGGGGGCCAAACCCCCAAAGCTGACAGGGCAGGTAACTCAGGGGAAGGAAGCAGGCCGGGTATGAAGTCAATCTAGAGGAGACTAGGAAAACATCTCTTTCCTTTTGACTCCGCCAAACAAAAACAAAAAACAACCGTGTCAGCCCGATAATAAATGGTGACAAGCCCTCAGCCAAGGCGTGGGGACTGTGATGGAAAAGCTCACATCCCATCCATTCAGCCCCAGCCATCTGCTGCCACCCAGAAACAAGGACTCGGCATTGTCAGACTGATGGATTTTTTTTTTTTTTCAAGAGAAGCCAGAAATTCAGATTTTAATGCGAAACTCTGGTTTTTAAAGACTGGCAACTGATTTTTTTTTTTTTGGCAAACAGAATAGCTCAGATGAGGGTGGGATGGGGGCTGCCCGTTGGTGACCTCTGAAGGTTGTCTGCAACCCTGAGATTCGGGGGAATAGTCAGGGAAGTTCTGTGCCAAGATAGGAAGAATCTTCGAGATTTTTTTCCTCCAAAGTGTCTTCCCCGGTGGAGCCATGAACAGTCAGGGTGCGGGTCAGAGACTCGGGGAACCTAGTTTCTCATCTTCCTGCTCCTCCCAGGCCTCAGTCGCCTGCGGACAGTCAACGGGACAAAGCAAAAGCAAGAGAGAGGGGCTGGGGCGGTACCCCACAAACGCCAGAGAGAGGGCGAGGAGGAGCGAAGAGAGAGGCATCATTTTCTCCGATTTATTTCAAGAGAACAAAGAATCGACCATCAATTCTGTACAAAAACATGGCGGCAGGGTCAGGGTCACCCTCGGGCCAGCCCCCTTCCTATGCCCAGCCCTCCACCCTGCTTAAATTGCCCCCAAAATGAGGACAAGACTAAAAAACCCCAAACTCTGGGAAAAAATTATCATGAAAAATCAGGAGAGGCCTTCCCTCCCCTCCTCCCTCTCACCGAAACACAAGTTTGGGGGTGGGGGGGCTGTGTTCATGGCAGCAGGCGGGGGAGTGAGGCCGGAAGGCGGGTGTAGCAAATTTAGTGTTTGGCAAACAGTGGGCTGGGCCGTAGGATCTGGAAGGGAGCTGAGGGGCTCGGGGAAGAGTAAAGATCTCCAACGCTGCACCCCCACCTTTCCATACAGGACCCTCGAAACAGTTTATAAAAGTCGGGGCCAGAGAGTAGAAGAGAAAAGAGTCATCAGAATCAAAAACTAAATAGTGGAAAGATTTTTTTTTTTTTCTTCTCTAAAAAGCAAAAAAAACTACAAACAGCCCAGGTCCTGAGCTCCCCAAGTCTTGGATCCTCCACCGCCCTCTGAAACCCGCAGGAGGGGGACGGGGAGTGGGGAGAGGTTGGTTCTTAAAAAAGTCACCCCTGGACAGGAAGGCCCTTGTCTTTCGTCGCCTTCCTCTGCCCCTCACCGCCACCGAGCAGAGGGCTGGCGAGGACCAGGGCTACGCTGGCAAACTCAGCTTCTTCCCCTTCAGGACTGTGAGGAGAGAAAGGGGGTGGGCGTCATCACGGGGCCCCCGGAGGAGGAGACAGCCCCCCACACCCAGAGCAGGGGCCTGGACAGTGATGCGAGGAGGTTCGACCTCAGGACGCTGGCTTGCAAACTGGGGGGATCGGCCTGAATTACTGACGGGTGGGGTGGGGGGACCCTAGTCGCATCCTAGGGGCCGAGCGAGGAGGTGAGAGGACACCCCATTTCTCCCGGTGCCGGCTGCCCCTCTCCCACCCTCCAGGGACTCTTGGGCTGGACGCTTGGGATCCTGGAGGGAGCTGGGGTCAGAGGGTCTGGCGAGGCTGGCCGGGGGAGCCCACTCGCCCCCCGCCCTTCGTCTAGAGGGGCCTCGGCGGCTTCCAGGCCTCTGCCCCCCTCTCTCCTCTGTCCTCCGCACCGACCAACTCTGACTTCTCAGGCCTCAGGCCCCTGCTTTAGTCATCGTCTCCTGTAAGGGGTCCCCCCGGACACTCCCCGCCCCACATAAAGGAGCCCCCGTGCCGTCCACGGCTGCTCCCCGACACGTCCCTGGATCCTTCTGCCACAGCCCTCCTCACTGCTCTCACTCATCGCTCTTCACTTGTTCATTCGCCATCCTCCCCGCCAGAATGTCACGGGGAAGGGAGGGCCTCGTCCACCTTTCTCTCGCTGTAGTGTAGTCACTGGAGCCCAGCCCAGCCCTGACTAGGGATGTAGACTGTGCTCAGTAAATGTGTGGTTGGTTGAATGGATGGATGGATGGATGAATGAATGGATGAATGAATGAATGAATGAATCTGGGTGGGCCTGAGTCCCTGAGGGTGAAGACAAAGACCAACGGGCACGGGGGAGGCCTCCCCTTTTCTGAGCACTGCTGGGGCTGGGAGGTGGGAATTCCGGAATTTTATGGGTATGAGACTGAAACCCTATGGATCTAGAACCACAGGCAGGAGAGGGCTTAGGACAGATTCCATGGGAGGAGACGCCAGAAGCCACCCCTGCCCTTCTCTTTGTCCTGTCTCCTCCTGCAAATACCCGGGGGCTGGGGAGAGGGACGCCTGGCCTCTGTGTGGTCCAGGGAGGAAGGACCGCTCTGCGGGAAGGCAGCCCCCGCCTCGCTCTCTTCCCTCAGAGACTTGGGGCCGAGGAGAGCGACTTCTTGGTCTCTAGGGAGGCTGAGGCTGGAGCGCTGAACTCCTAGGGGGGCGGTGAGCCTGGGACCCTGGGATCTAGGAGAAGCAGCTTCTGTCCCCTGAGTGAGACAGGGCGGGAGCTGGGGAGGGAGCGGGGCCCTTTCCGGCCAGCCCCCTTTGTGTGGCTACCTTTGGTGATGTAGAGGTAGAAGAAATCGCAGTAGAGGACCGTCTGGACTAGGCCGGCCACGATGGCGATGAGGTCGAAGAAGCCCTCGAAGTGGTAGCGCCAGATCCAGTTGAAGAGATAGAGCGTGCGGTAGACGCCCAGCGCGAACAGGTAGTGGCTGGTGATGGTCTCCGCCTCGCCCGTCTTGCTCACCATGAAGAGCTGCGGCAGGATGGCCACGGACTCCAGGTAGATGGAGAAGGTCCAGAGGATCTGCGGGGAGCCCGGGGAGCAGGGGGCAGAGGGCAGGACGAGGCGGGAGGGGACAGGGTGGGAGAGAAGGCAGACTGTAGTGACAGGTGCAGACGGTGACTTTGGAGAGAGAACGAGACAGTGATGCCTGCTGGGCATCGCCCGTGTTCCAGACTCGCTCTGCCCACCGCATGTACATTCTAACTTAACCCTCACAGCGACCCCCTGGGGGAGGTGCTATTATTATTTTTACTTATTTAACTTTTTGATGCGAGGCCACCCTTGGTTGACCTCACAGATTGCAAGGACCTTGTCAGCTTACAATCCTTTATTTTTTATTTTTTATGCCTACAGCACCTGGTCTTCCTAGGTGGTCTCCCATCCAAGTACTAACCAGGCCCGACCCTGCTTAGCTTCCGCGATCAGACGGGATCAGGCACGGTCAGGGCGGCATGGCTGTAGACAGGAGGTGCTATTATTAGCACCCG